ACCTCTGATTTCAAAAAATATATCTCAGTATTTAGTGCGGTAAGCATCTCAAATTAATTGTCACATTATCACAACATCACTTTGTGCCATACATCACAGCTTTTCTGTTTAGGAAATCAAATGCCTTGCGGTGATCTTGTAGTTTGCTACTAATAGCGCTTACGTAAGGATCCAGTAATAGCTCAGAAAGTATATGGTCTCTGCTCTTCTTCCTTATCTTTAGTGTTATACAACTATCCTATGTGCAATCTTGTGTGCTTTAAAAGGGTCCTAAATATGCTCTTTTACAAAGTCTTGATTTTGTTTTGGGGGTGTACTAATGTAACCACTCGAAGTTCATCTGCCTTGGGAAAGCTAGCGGGTCTCCGACATAGTGAAAACACTCGTTGCCTTCTCTAGTGCAGCTCAACCAGGTCTCGTCCCATTCGTCGATATTTATGATATCACAAATCCCGGAAAATATGCGTTGTAGTCCAAACGAGTCGTTTGTTGTAGTTTTTGAAAAGTGATTTCTGTTCAATAAAATATCTCCTTTTGAAGTGGACTTTGAGCTTTGTAACTTTGCAGATCTTCTTTATGCTCAAACAGCAACATTACAGACTAACTAAAGTTGAAAAAGTGAAAAAGCATAATAGGACCCCTTTAAGATCTAAAGGAGTTTCATAATAAAAGACAGTGTTGCCAAGTCCATGTCTTTGCTGCAAAATTAGACTACTTCTATACTGCTGCTGTGGGTTGGTGTTTTTGTTTTTTTAGTTCTCTGTCCCCCTGGAATGTGATTTTAAAGCAATTTTGATAGCCATTTCCCCCTGGAGCATGATTGGTCTAGTTTCGGCCATGAATAGGCTGGTTTTGTTATGCAGACTTGGCAACCCTGATTTTGAGTTTCAGTTAATGCTTTCATTTGGCAAAAACTGTAACCTTGAGGCTTGCTTTCTAATCCCATTATATCACTGTAGAAGCTCAAAGATGGATTAGATGCACCAATCAATCAGAACGTCGCTTCTCCTTGACATCTTCCCACCATTGTAGTGCATTGTGAGATTTCAGATGATATATATCCTTTTGCTGTCTTGTTTTTACAAATCTTCATTCTCCACATTCGGATGTCAGACTATCATATAATTTACATTTACATTGAGATGGATTGAATGTGGTTTTATCGGAGATGACAGAAAAATATTTATAATTAGATGCAAAGCAATGCTTGATAATGCAAATCATTCAAAGCAAATGGTTATTGCATCACGTCTTTTTTCAGTCTCTCAAGTCATTACTCAAGTGAAAACACTCTGAAGACAGTTTAATGGAAGCATTTATGTATGAAACACTGGCAAGACTCAGCTACAGTACATCGATGCTGTGTGTTGACGTGGTAGAGGTTTTTGTAGGCAGGTTGAATTGAACTGGTAAATGGCTCACAAACTCAACCTCAAGGTCACAGAAGGACGCTTTGTGTTATGCTAATCAGACCTGGCGGGTTTTAGCACAGTCCTATTTTGACTTGAGAAAAGAAGGTCAGCCACTGCATGTAGGGATGGGTCAGGATGACTAGTTTGATTTAAAATTAGAACTCTAAGTCTTGATTTAGAATTTTTGTTTTAGCTTTAATACTTTTATTAACATTTTTCTTACAATCTACTGATATTTTGTACCTAAAAGGTGATTTTAATCTTAAGGAACCACACTGAAAAAAAGAAGATTCATTGAATTTACTACATTTTTTTAAGGTAAGTGGTTGCAATCAATTTATTTTAGCTACATTTAAATAAATACATTTAGTTGATTAACTTTCAACATTTTTTGTAGCTAAAATAAATAGTTTGCAACCACTTACCTTAAAAAAAATGTAGTATCATTTTTTTCAGTGTAGCTTGGTAAAACAGGTTTAGTAATAATAATAACTATTGCATGGTGGAGCTTTAAAGAGGATAAATATATGGAATTTTAGCATTCCATACTGTTTTGCTCTCAATCATCTGCTTTAAAGCAGCATAAATTCACTGCCTACAACAATACATTTCATAAATGTTGGTCTGCATTATGCACAAATATTATTTTTTTACCCATAATACTTGGTTTTTTTTCTAACCCCTAAAATCAGTTTTTATTTAGTTAGTTTTTTGATTTTCTGACGTGACAAATTGATGATGAAGAGAAATTTTATATAAAATACTGTAGTAGATAAAATAAAGTAGTAGAAGAATACATTTCAAAATTTTAAACAATACATTTTATAATTAGTGCATTTCAAATTACTGTGCGCACAGGATGTGCTTGTTAGTATATAATATTTAGGTCTGGGTTTTTTTTTCGGTTTTTATATTTTAAATTAATACATATATATATATATATATAAAACATGCATAGATGACAATTTGAAGAGAGAATTGTTTCTTCACTGTAAAATCTACTGATTTTTTTTCAATCTTTTTTTTTTTTGGTGCATTTGTGCAAAAAAAGTTATTTTAATTTCAGTATTTACTTATTACACACTACACTGGAAAAGCAATGTTTAAGTAATAATAATAAATATTTGTCATGGTGGTGCTTTAAAGGGGATGAATTTATAGAAGGTTTGGAGAGATTTTTGTGACATTCTGTTTTCTCTTTATCTATAGACCTAGATTTAAAGCAAACAGTATGGCAACACAATATACAGTATATATATATATATATATATATAAGTTAATAATGGTAATTTTAGATGACTTTTCGGATATATTTAATTATATAACCCTTTATAATCAATAATAACATTTATTAACAATTTATTTCACATTTTCTCTAAACCTTCTTGTATATTAAGACAGGCACCTGCAGTTCTGCCCAAAAAAACAAGAATGATTAGCAATTGTCACTAATTGGCCTGATTAGCTAAGCCCTCAAAACATTTTTAGTTTTACATTTTAAAATTTTTATTTAGTGGTACAGTATTGCACGATTTGTAGATTATATTTAATAGTTTACACTTTCCAAACACGTTTGCAATTAGTTTTTAAAAGGTAACATTACATTCTTAAGGACTCTATTTCTTTTCAGGAGCACTAGTGCTCCTAATTACAAAATTAGGAACACGATCGATCTGATCAATGACAGAAATGAACCTTCCCATTATAAGGCGATATTTGACTCCTCAAAGGTTTTTTTATTTTTTTTTTATTTGTTTTACTTTTCTAACTTTATTAAATGTATGTCATCTTTTGTGCCAACAAATTTAGATTTATAAACTTTGATCAAAAATACAATTAAATATTAAAATAATAAGATACAATCAGGAAGAACAAGTTACCAGTCAAATGAAATCAGCATCAACAATTCATCTTTGCATGGCACAGAAGAGCTCAAATGTGGCATTAAGGAATATTTACAGATTTTTGAAAAGACTCAGAGGTGGCATTCATGCATTTCATAATAACAATGTTATGAGATTAATGTTTTAAATATAAAGTTTTGAATATAAAAATTAAATAATTAAATGATTTAAATTTAAAAATGAAACTGTAGGTGGCAGCAAGTCACTGTCTTTGTCACTGAAACATTTATTTAATCGATTCGTTCAAACGGCTGATTCATTTAGGAACGAAGCAAGTGAGTCTCTTTATGAATGGGTCATTGAATCATTGACTCACTAGATTTGTTCAAAAGTGCAGATTCATTCATAAACAAAACAGCGCTGTGTTTGCAAGGAGATGCGCAGTGGTTTTGTTTGGAACTACTTCCGTTGACGAAATAAAGCACAATCAGACAACAGTGTTCCTAAAATATGTCACTTAATATTAACTTTTGTATAAAATCAAAGATGTATAAAACTGTTGTATAAATTACATTTTACATTTGCAAACTCCCTTTATAACCCCCCCCTCCCCATTTCCAGCCCTATATATATATATATATATATATATATATATATAAACAGAAGTGTAGGTGTATATACAGTAATATTACTATAGGGAGAATACATGAAAAAGATGTATAAAAGTAAAGAATTGTTTGAAAAGCTATTGTATACTTCAGGCAAACCGAAACATGCAGTAATTGGGGCAATCCGTCCTTTAAATTTAGCAGAAAAAAATTAATTTTACTGAAGGGAGATGGAAAGATGAGGGGGAGGAGTGTGGGCGAGTATGAATGAAGCTACTGAAGCGACAGACAGACAGAGAGAGAGAGAGAGAAAGAGAGAGGTGGATTATCAGGACGCACTGAGTGTTTGTCATGTTCCAGCTATTCAAGCATGGGGTTTTCTTTAACATCCAGTTAGGAATCCTTCAAGCAGAACAAATTGCAAGTCAGTAAGCTGGTAAGTGGAAGCAGACTTAAGTAAATACATAATTGGAACTAGCTACAAACACATAATTCCAGTTTGTTTAATGTTTCTTTTATTAATCTACCTGCTGTTCTTTAATCTTGTATCTCGTCTCTTTAGAGGTGTTTGGCTGCCATTTAGGGTTCTGATTTGTTTTTTTGTTGTGCGAATTGGGAGTTTTCAGTATCCAAAGTCTCAATGAAGCTCTTGGCAGCTTTGTAAAGCTGACAGATTTTGTGCATGTATTATGTCTCAAACATGTCATGGCCAAACCTGACAAACCATCTCTTGTGTGTCTACAGAAAGTATTTCAAATTAAATCAAGCTTTTATAGAGGTTCAGAGGACTTCTTGAGATGAAATCCACAATACATGTTTTGACATTTCCACTTAATGTCACGGTGTAGCTGGAAATGTGCAATGTGTTCCTGTAAGCAATAATTACTTGGTCTTTGAGTTTTCAGAAATGATTGTGAATTTGATGGAGGAGGTTGTATTGACACTGTAGTGATCAGTATGATCTAACTGAACTGTCAATAATTCTGATTTACGTCCCTCTTTTCCCAGTAGGTGTGAAGGATTCATCAGGACACAGGAGACTGACACACTGTGGTGGACCGACAGAATCAGGATCACAGCTGGTATAAATGCAACTTTCTCTTTAGCTGGAAGAGGACCTCATATCTGAGTGCATCATGGATTTTGTGATGAAGCAAGCGCTGGGCGGTAAGTGTCATGTTATCAACCATTAAAAGGCATTTTGCATAACACATATTTCTACAAAGATGTACCGTATATGAATTAGTCTCAATTCTTAATGTCAGCTTGGTCAAGGCCAATTTAGATTGTATTGATTCTGTATGTAGTATTTATTTGGTTAGTGCTATTTTAGTATCATTAAGATACTATTATGTTTTTTATAAAAAATAAAATGTTTTGAATGTTTTCCATTTTCACTTTTAGTTAAAGTTTTTGTAATTTATTTGTGTGTTTTAGCCATTTTTATTATTATTATTATTAATTAATTATGTCTATGTAGTTTTTAAATGTTTATTTCAATTTTAAATCAATCAAGTTACAATAAATGAAAATAAGAAATATTGATGAGTTTTTTTATATATTTTATTTTGGTTTGTTTTTTATGGTTTTAGTTTTATTTGTTAACTGTTTGACAGGTGTCAGAAATTGATGATGAGTTTTTCTTCAATGTAAAATTTAAATAATTGTTTAAAGGGGTCATATGATGTTGCTAAAAAGAACATTATTTTGTGTATTTGGTGTAATGCAATGTGTTTATGTGGTTTAAGGTTAAAAAAACACATTATTTTCCACATATTGTACATTATTGTTTCTCCTCTATGCCCCGCCTTTCTGAAACGCGTAAATGTTTACAAAGCTCATCGGTCTGAAAAGCGAGGTCTGCTCTGATTGGCCAGCTATCCAGTGCGTTGTGATTGACTGAATACCTCAAGCGTGTGACAGAAATGTTACGCCCCTTACAATATTGTGATGCTGTGTCTCCCGGCACGACGAGACAAAAACTATAAAACCCATTATAAACGAGACATTTGTTGCAAAGTTGGAACTGCCCCACTTTATAGAACAGCCTTTGAGCACAGACCCATTGTAGGCTGCTCTGCAGGTTCAGGAAACAGTCCTCCATAAAATGCATCACACAGCGTCACACACAGCGTGCTTGAGTGAGCGGAGGCCGGCGGGCTTGCGGCAACCACATGTGATGACCCCGGGCTGGACTCCGCTTCGTCCACGGTGAAAGCCGATCCGGCGATCCACAGAGCTAAGTTGATGTATTTCCTCAGCGACCAGCACGGATCAGCTCCAGGCATGATGAAGCGGATATCGTCCTCTTTTGGAAGGATCTCCACAACATGGCGGCGGCAACAACAATACTACAGTGAGACTAAAAGTTACGCCTTCTTTCTTTGCGTGAACATTTAGGTGGCGTTATGCAAATCTTCCCACATTGTGACGTAGACATTTGGGGGCGTGTTAGAACGAGCCATTTTAGGTAGGCGTAGTTGACTCTTAACTTTTATAAAGAACATCTCTTTGGATTTGAGACTTTAGTCTTTGCAACTTTACAGATCTTCTTTATGCACCAAGAGCTTGTAACACTCTGTGACGAGTGGGGGCGGGGCCGAGAGCCGCGGGAGCGGAGCGAGTCTCACGGAGGAACTCCGGAAGGATAAAAGGGAGGAGTGATGACAGTAAAAGACGAGAGAGGACCAGGCCTGGACTTTATTTTGTGTTCTGGTTTTGTTTGTGCGCGACAATCGTCCGCGAGGGGCTGTCGTGCTGTTTTGTGTTTATTTTATTATTAAAGTTTTGTCTAAATGTTCGCCGGTTCCTGCCTCCTTCTTCCCGACCTACGAACGTTGTTACATTGGTGCCGAAACCCGGGAGGAAGGAGGGACACGCTGTCAGAGAGCCCTCGCTCCTGAGGGGGATCGTGGTGCTGAGGAGATCGGGCAGCAGGAACAAGAGGAAAGACCGCTGGTGGCTGCCCGAGGCGGTGGTGCTGGAACTATGGAAGACGAGGTGGGACGGAGAGCTCGCTGCCGTGCTCCTGGGTCGAGGAGGGGTGGCTGCCATCCGAGAGGGAGAGGAGGAGTCAGCCCCGTTCGCCAGGAGGCCGTAGCCTGCTGCCATCCGCCATGATTGGGGAGGAGCAGGGAACGGGGGACTCGCTGCCGGCTGCCCTCAATAAGAGGAGCCATCGCCGTCCGCGAGGTGGCGGAGGAGCGGTGGGCCATCCACCAACGATGTCCAGTACCATCGCATGGCACCGCGAGTGAGAGCCTCTCAGCCGGTTGAGGACCAAGCGGCAGTGTGTCCAGGAACAGGACCGATAATTAGTTTTTTCTTTTCCTCTCTCCCCTCTCTCGTATCTGTCTCTCCTCATTCTTCCGTCTCCTTTTCTCTCGCCTCGTCTGTCTGTCCTGACCCCCAGGTACGCCACGGCTGCCGTAATCGGCTCCCCCAGAGGGGGGGGGGGGGGGGGAGTAGAGCGCAGTCTCGGGAGTACTACATACCGCGCTGTTTTGTGTTTATTTTATTATTAAAGTTTTGTCTAAATGTTTGCCGGTTCCTGTCTCCTTCTTCCCGACCTTCGAACGCTGTTACACACTCCAAAGAGAAAGGAATAATTGAAATCGCATCATATGACCCCTTTAAATAAAGCAGTAGTAGAATAATATAAGTTAATTTAGATGTTACCAAATATATTAAAAAAATTATAAATAATATCTAGGTCTGTTTTTTTATATATATATATATATATATATATATATATATATATATAATCTGTTTTTTATATTATATTTACTATATATGCATGTGTGTGTGTGTGTGCGCGCGCGAGAATTAACCAGGAAATTGATTTTAATAGAGATTTTTACTGTAAAATGTGATATTGTGCAGTTAAAATAGTTGATTAAATAAAAACAACAATATTTTTTAGTAATTAAATAATTAAGACATTACAATTGTTTTAAAAGTATTTAGTAGTAATTATACCAGTTCATTTAAATGGTACCACATTGTAATTGGGTGCAAGACAGTAAGTCATCAATATGTTTTTGAAATTCATACATTTATAGCAATAACAAAGAAAAGTGCTTATTGATCTGTGTATAGTTTTACTTTATTTGACATGCTGTTTATATATGTTATAGATTTGCCCCATCCTATAATCATAAGTTTGTCTAAAGGTCACTGAGCCCCTAAATCAATTTCATGATTTGGTTTCATCAGCTGAGTGACTATGGGCAATAAAACGAAATTTATTTCTCCCCTGTCAATTCCCATGAGTGGGCCAGATGTAGCAGATTGCACTGTGACCACACAATGACCTTCTGCACGAGGTGTCTTTAAGAAACACAGATTGTCTTTTCACCGCACATCGTATTTTACACAATTCCTTTGCTGTTCCCCATGGATGAGGCCGAAACGTCGGATCGAGGCTATGAATTGTGAAACATAAAATTAAATATGAAAGAAATATGCCTTGTGGCACTTTTAATATATATATATATATATATATATATATATATATATATATATATATATATATATATATATATATATATAGCCTTTAAGAATATTTATAAAATGTGATTTTTCCCCCCTTTGTTTGGAGCATAGATCTTATAAACTAACATGGCTTAAATTCTGCTTCGTAGCTCTGAGGTAATGGAGCATGATTTACTCACGAAAATCATCCATTATTTAACAGACTTTCCCTAGCCTGATTTTCTCAACCCTTGCAAATTATTCAGAAGCATATAGAATTTCTTCAAGTTCCCACAGAGAAGACTCCGCGTTCAACAGCCTGTAAAAAACAACCTTTATGTTTGTTGTCTGTGTGAAAGACATTTATTAAAGAAAGATGGAAAACAGAAAAGGGGAATAAAATGTAATAACAAATGTTGTGCTTCAGAACAGCCCTGCTTATTAACTCTGTCAAAAGCCGTCAGCATTTTTGATCATCTTCACAAAATTTTCATGGCATTTTGTTGTATGAATATCTGAACATGCAATATGTCAAAGGAAAGAACCTCTGCTTTTAAAGGTGACATATCATGAAAATCTAACTTTTCCAGGTTTTAAGTGCTATAATCAGGTCCCCGGTGCATCTACCAACCAAGGAAACGTGAAAAAGATTAACCCAGTAACTTTGTTTTCGGAAGCCTTTTTCTGCAGATCTCCAGATAGATACACTCACCAACTTATTAATCATTCTCAGATTCCTTTCTCTTTGCGTAAGATATTTTATTTAAGATGTTTGTTTTAGGGACTGTATAAAACACTAGCAGTGCTTGTGTTATAAAAAACAAGTGACCTATTTTACTACTACTACTACTTTACTGTTATAAAAGAACTTAATTAATATGCTAATTTCCTAAGCTCTGATAATTCACGTATCATTAAGTATTAGGCTGTTTCCAGAGATATTGGAATACAGCTCGGCTGCTGTGCAATCGTTATGCAGAGCCCAGATTTGCTCTTCCATCCATAACCATCACTGCTGTTCCTGCCAAGTGCTTTTGATCTGATAGAGGGATGCAGCTCTTTTGTTATGCTAACCATCCTCTGTGTGACTTTAAACAGACATTCAGTGGCCTGCATCTTACTTTAAGCTCTCAGGAACAGCAGTTGCATTGTGTTTTTAGAACAATTAATGTGATGTGAAAATCTGAAGAATGTTTACAGCTTAAAGTTGAAGTGTATTTTTTTATTATTTATTATTGGTATTTTTATTTAGTGTTTGAACATCCTGACTGGCCTGACAACAGCAACATCAGCTCAACCAATGGTGTGAGTTTAGGGTGGGGCTGTCTGTTTAATCAACCAAAGGCAGAAGAGAGGAGTGTTCAGGAAACCTGTTTGAGAAAAATCATACTTTTTGCCATTTCTTTACACATACTGTACATATTAGCCATCAATGTGCAGTTAATATTTGAACAGATGAACGTGAGACAGACTGAAGTTAACCCAAGAATACTGCAAAAATCTTAATATATATTTTCCAGTAAAAAGTTTTACTTGAAAATATTAGATTAGATTATAATAGAAGATTATATTAAATTGCTTAAATTAGGTATTTTTTATTGGCAAATTGTTCTTTAAAAAAATCATAAATCTTAATTAATTTAGTTTGTAAGAAAAAATATTGCCAGTGGGTTAAACAAATTAATAAAAAATAAAATTAATAATAGTTATAATAATAATAATAATAATAATAATAAATACTGAAAAAAATTCTTAATCCATGTTTTCCTGGAAAAGGTCCTGTAAAATAGATAAATATCTGAGAATCTTATATTAGATTATATTAGAATATTATATTAAATTACTTAAACTAGGTATTTTTTATTGGTAAATTGCTTCTTTTTTTTTTAAATAATCACATTTTAAACCTTAATTAACGTAGTTTGTAAGAAAAAAATGCAAGTGGGTTAAAAAAAATAAATAAAGTAAATAATAATAATAAATACAGCAAAAAATCCTAATCTGTATTTTCTAGTAAATACATATTAACATTCTGTAAAAAAAAAATAAATAAATATACTTATATAAAAGCAAACGATAATATTAAATTACTCAAATTGCTGTTTTTTTCTTATTGGCGAAAAAAAAAAACATAAACCTCCATTAATTGTTTGTAAATTGTTTTATTTTTTTATTTTTTCCAGTTTGTAAAAAAAAATGCCAGAGGGTACAAAAAAAAAAAAACTAATCTGTATTTCCCAATAAAAACATATTCACATCCTGTAAAAAGATAAATATACTTGAGAAGTGAAAAGATATTAAATTATACTCTGTTTTTCTTTTCTATAGGTTTTTCATTAATATAGGTATATAATATATATATTTTATATATCTTTCACATATACAGACTTTAATATATTTAAAGGATATATATATATATATATATATATAGATATAGATATAGATATATAGATATAGATATATATACACTAATATATGTACTGTATATGTATATAAGACCCCTCATTGTCTCCTTTTATTCCTGACTTTGTTAAAGTTCAAATGTTAAGGCTTAGATTAACAGTTAGAGCCCCAAACTGGGCAGGTTGTTAATTATCGTTCCGGAAGCTTTGGTTTGGTGGGGGGTTACTATGGGCTTTGAATAACCCAAGGCAACAGAAACTAAAAGACTTTATACAGTCCTTGTGGACCATGGGAAACCTGCAACTTGACATGACATGAGCTCTGTTATGTCAGCTCAAGCTGTCCTCGACACACATACACACACAGACGGTTAAAGGCCACTTAAAGTGTACTTTGCCACTCCTTTCCTCTTCAGTGTCTTGAGTGTCATACAGAAGCAATTAAACACATGTGAAGGAAATGCATAGACCTTGACCCTGGATTTCAAATGCACACTCATACATTATAAATGACTGCCATTAATAATGAATGAGAGTACAGTTGCTTGTAGAGACACATTGTGCACAGCCATTATGCAAATGATTGATGACTTACAGCAATAGTACAGCATTTGCAACCAAATCTTGCTGAGACCGTTCACATCAGTCGGAATGATTCTCAAACACAGCTGTTTTTTGCATTTTATGGTTAGAGTGAACATCGAGGTATATGCAAACAGCCAATTCTTAAGAGCATTTATTGCTGCACTGCTCATAATGACCTGTGGCTGTTGTTTGCTGAAACCAAAACATGATGTAGAATACACAGCGTGATAGGTAGAGCTGCACCAATGAAACAGATGGCAGAGAGAGGACTGGTACATGCATCATTCTGCTGTCTCTGTTTGCCTTCATCATTTTGGCTTCAGTATATCATCATATAAGCAGGTCGCGCAGTGCAAAACGTGATCAGTCTCTCTTCTGAATTTGTGATTGAAATATAGAATTACATTAGCGTTCAAGGTTTGGGGCTTTTAAAAGAAGTCTCTTACGTTCACAAAAATCCAGTAAAAATAGTCAAATTGCAAAAAATGAAAATGGTTTTCTATTTGAATATATTTTAAAATGTAATTTATTCCTGTGATGGCAAAGTTTTCAATATTGAAAACAGTTGAACTACTTTCTGGATTCTTTGATGTATACAAAGTTCAAAGTGTACTGCATTTATTAAAAAACTGAAAAACTCACCTAAGAATGCTGCAAAACATATTCTTAATTAGTATTATTCTCTTGTTTTTGACTCAAAACATCCTTTAAACAACATACTGTATACTTGAAAAGCTAAATATTGTAAGAAATAGCATGATAACAGATATATTATATATTAGTATTTGTCTTACCGGATTGGCAAATATTTTTTTCTCTATTTTATTAAAATTAAATTTACTTTATTGTTTCTTTGTTTTTTTTAAAGAAACGAATAAATTTATTCAGCCAAGATGCATGCATGCATTCTTTCTTTCTCTTTCATTCTTTCTTTCAAGAATAATTAAAACAATTACAAAAAAATCTAACAAAGTAACCTTCAAAAAAATATCTTATGGAATTTATTTTTTAAATTGGATTTTTAGACATTCATTTTTGTATATGCTTCTGTGAAACAGGAAAAAAAAACTGATTTAAACAAATGTACAGATTTATTTTACAATTTAAGATGACTGTATTCCACGTTTTCAGGATTCTTTCATGAACAGAAAATGTTTATAAATAATAAGAAAGAAAGAAATAGAAATAGAAATCTTCTCTAACATTATGAAAAAATTGAAAATTTGAATGATAGTGTGACCAATATTTCAGTATCAGCCATTGAAAACTGCTTATGATGTCTTTGCTCTTTATTGCACAGGGGCCACCAAAGACATGGGGAAGATGTTAGGTGGAGAGGAGGAGAAGGACCCTGATGCCCAGAAGAAGGAGGAAGAGAGGCAGGAGGCGCTCAGACAACAAGACGAGGAGCGAAAGACCAAACATGCTCGTATGGAGGCCGAGAGGGAAAAGGTCAGACAGGCCATTCGAGATAAGGTACGCTTTCCACATTTCCACTTCAGCTCCTTGTGACCGCTGATTAGACCAGGACATTTGAATGAATTGGTAAACATGGCAGCGTTTGCTAATTGCTAATCGATTTCAAACTAAAGCAGGATGAAGCCATTATACCTGGATGACAGGACTTAATGATTAATGTGTGTGTGGGAATAACACATCAAATCAGAATCTCCATTACCCTTTAATGAAATGTCACATTTGCAGGAGGTCTTAATGTCAGCTAATTACAGCTAATTGAACAGCTCATTCTTAAGAGAGGAAAGTAGCGTTAGTGTAAGCCAGAAGTATAAAGTCATTACAGGATCATGCATGATCCCCAATGATCATGAGAATCACCATGAGAACATCTGGAGAGCTATACACTCTTAAAAATAAAGGTGCTTCAAAAGGTTCTTCAAGCGATGCCATAGAAGAACCATTTTTGGTTCCACAAAGAACCATTCAGTCAAAGGTTCTTTAAAGAACCATCTCTTTCTTACCTTTTTATAATCTGAAGAACCTTCTTTCGCCACAAAGAAGCTTTTGTGAAACAGAAAGGTTCTTCAGATGTTAAAGGTTCTTTATGGAACCATTTAGACAAAAAGGTTCTTCTATGGCATCGTGAAGCACCTTTATTTTTAAGAGTGT